GAAGACTTAAGATTCTCCCATATCTTCCTACGATCCTTGGTGTTGTACCCCAAAATTTTCCCTCTCATTTATCAAGTATTTTCTCACAAGATCTCCTTTGGTTCAAGATTGCACAAGGGTTGGTAGCTCAAGACACCTCCTTAAGCACCGACGACTGAAATTAAGGTTTGAGATTGCACAAGGATATTTGAACTTTTAATGCCTCATATGGCTTTCATGGGTCATTATGGGCCCTCAAGATTACTCATGTTAAGTTTCAAGTCTTGGATCACATTTTTGCTCAGTCAATTGAGCAGTTGGCCTAAAAATCAACTGTATTGGGGAAAAAGTCAATTGTGGCCAATTTACAGTCAAACTTCATAATTTTTGATCCATATCAACATGATAAACTCATAAGTATAATTTGATCAAGTTTGGACCATAATTCGTCAAGAAATTTGACCAGATCATCAAAAAGGCAAAATGGTCAAAATTAGGGTTTTGACTGAGAAAGAGCAATTTCTGATTTTTGACCTAGCAAATGGTTAATTGGTTTGAGGCATAATCTCAAGAGTTCAATTGCATCATTTTGACCTAATGGCATGACTCAAAACATTGCTTAAGGTCATTTGATTGATAGTTGATTTTCAGTCAACTGATCAAAAGTCAATTGTACACTGAAAAGTCAAACTTTGACTTTTTGGTCAAAATCAAATGTCAAAGATCACAATTCATCAAAACATGTCAAAATATGAAAATTGTTAATCAAGAAATTAAAAAGTCAAGATTTCATTTTGAAAAGTCAAAGTTTCCAAACTTAGAAATTTTTCTAAGTGTTGAAAACTTTATATTTTTTCACAACTTTGAGCCAATTTTTCACCATGATGCAAGATGGTTCAAAAGAAACTTTCAAAATGAAAGTTTTAGATCTCCATGAGATCTAAAACATTTCTTTACACAACTTCTTATATAAATTATTGGATCTAAAGTTATTAATCCATGAAGTCATGGTCATGAAACTAAAACACTTAGTGAAATTTTGAGCATTTTTGGTCAGGATTTTGACCTAACTTCTTGGCCAAGTTTCACATAGTTCCACTTGGATTTTGTAAAAGTGATTCAAATATGTATTATAGAGCACATTACAAGATTTCCAAAATATCCAAGAACTCCTTGAGATCATTTGTTATCAAGGAGAATCGAAGGCCAGAAGTTGGGGTTTCAAGTTGTTTTGCAAGACAAAATTTGTGATGCAACATGAACCAAATCCATAGCCATGCTGCATAATCTCACTTTTCAGGCCTCAAACTTGTTTGTCACTCTATAATTAATGTCTTACACAACTAATTGCACCCTTATCCAAGAGTTTCAAGCATTATCCAAATTAATTTGCCATTTTAGGGAGAAAGCAACATATCCATTCTTGTAAAGCAAGCTTTTTGCACAAAGTCAGCTTCTTGAGCTCTTAACTTGTTTTCTCTGATTACACTCCATCCACAAAGTCATAGGCATGGTGTTTAAAGTGGCTAACAACTCTATGAACAAAGGTACAATGCATTGAAACTTGTTTTGTCAAGAAAATCACATGTTGAGTTTAAACATGGATTTTGAATTCATACCAACTTGAGCACTCCAAACCTCTTGCTTATAAATAAAGGCACTATAAGCAAGCTAACACACGAATTGATAAGCCTAGAAACTCCCTAAAACTCCCTAAAATCAGAATTTTCACACAAACTCCATTTTTGTGTCATTTACGACTTTGAATTCCAAACTCACATTTCACTCGTGCGTTCTCACTCAAATTCAATCACAAATATTACATACACCATTTAGAACTCATCCCACACCCTGTTACACGACTGTAACACCATTTACACCATCTTCCATTTTCAAAAATAGAGCTTTGCACTTGGACTTCTCCAGCACGATTCAACCATCTCTAATACAAACTAAACATTGCATTAGCATCCTGGAGGGTCACTGAAGCTATTCTGATCATCACAACACCTTGAGGAGTGATCAAACTCAGAATATGATTTCCAGTTTTGAGGTAAGTTTCCTTATATTTGAACTCTCCCTACAAGCATCATTATTGATTCATTTGTGAAGATAAAATTTAGATATCATTGCCCTGAAGCTGTACATATCCATAGTTTTCATTTACATGGTTTGAGCTTAGAGAATTTTAAGTTTGAAGTTTCTGAAAAAATTAGGGTTCAAATTAGGGCCATAGAAATTCTCATTCATCTTTGATCTATAGCTTTAGTTGTTCACATGGTTAGATTCGTGAGGAAAAATAGCACAACTTTCATGTTTGCATTTTCCATTTTTGTTGAGAAATGAATGAGATACAGGTGGTCTGGCTGGCTGAAGGTTGAAGACGAAGTACAAGTCATGGAGACATGTTACATTATGTATTTATTCTTTCATTTAAGTTAACGGATGTACAACCACCCTAGTGGTAAGGCAGCGCGTGTTATTGGTAGAGGTCGTGGATTCGAACCTCAGCGCTGCCTTTTGCATTTTTTCCACATTTTTGTCATTTTTCTTTTTTTGTTTCAGGTAGCGCTTGGGCCTCCATCCCATGGGCCTGACTTTTTTTCTCTTAACAATACCCCCTGTTTGCTCAATAACAACGCAACCCATTTGTTTCTTTTTTTTTTCCGACTTCAAAAAAATGTTAATGGGCCAGACCATAAACTTTTTTACACACATACACTCAAAATCTGTTTTACATCCCTGACTTCATTTTCACATTTTATTTCATATTTTATTTTTCATTTATTTTTATTATTATTAATATTAATATTATTTTTGTTTTTATTAATAAGAATCCCACAAACATTTTTATTTATTATTTAGGTAATAATATATTTATATTTTATTTCCTTTAAGACTAAAAAGACAAAATATTTTCTTATACAAATTTAATTTATTTTCTTAAATAAAATAATAATTAGAATTAGGTTTAGTTTATTTTCTTTTTTAATTAAAATTAATTTAGAAACTTAGGATTTTTAATTAATTAATTTTTTCATACCAGTTTAATTTAATTAAGACCCTTTCACAAGAAACTTCATAAAAAACCCTAAAAAAAATTATTTTAATTAACTTAGTTTAATTTTCTTACTTTTAAGTTAATTAATTTTCTTCTAGTTAATTAGGTTAAAACAAAAAACCTTTTCTAAACAAAAAAAAAACAAATAAAAATCACATTTCTTTTTCACATTCATATTCTTGCATCTTTATCTTCATTTTTGTACAAAGAAGGAAGTTAGAGGTTTCTTGGGACGCTTGAATTATATCGCCAGGTTCATTTCACATCTGACTGCTACTTGTGAGCCTATCTTCAAGCTTCTGAAGAAAGATCAAGTGGTAAAGTGGAATGAAGAATGCTCGACAACTTTCGAAAGAATCAAAGAATACCTTTAAGAACCGCCGATTCTGATGCCTCCGGTTGAAGGAAGACCTTTGATATTGTACTTAACAGTGCTAGACAATTCAATGGGGTGTGTGCTGGGACAGCATGACGAGTCCGGTCGAAAAAAGCATGCAATATACTACCTTAGCAAAAAGTTTACCGACTGTGAGACACGATACTCACTGCTCGAGAAAACTTGTTGCGCTTTGGCATGGGCTGTTCACCGACTAAAACAGTATATGTTGACCCATACTACTTTGTTGATATCTAAGATGGATTCGATCAAATACATCTTTGAGAAACTCGCTCTCTCTGGAAGAATATCAAGATGACAGATGATCTTAATTGAGTACGATATACAATATATAACCCAGAAAGCAATCAAGGGGAGTATGTTGGCTGATCATTTGGCTCATCAGGTTGTGGATGACTACCAATCCATGAATTTTGAGTTCCCAGATGAGAATATTATGCTGGTGACTGACTACGAAGAACCTGGACCGGATGAAGGACCCGAAGAGGGATCCCGATGGACCATGGTTTTTGATGGAGCTTCAAACGCACTGGGTAATGGCATCGGTGCTGTAATCATATCTCCTGAGGGCTGTCATACTCCTTTCATCGGTCGACTATGTTTCAGCTGCACTAACAACATGGCAGAGTATGAAGCTTGTATCATGGGTCTCAAGGCTGCTATTGACCTCAGGATCAAGTTCTTGGACGTTTTCGGGGATTCAACCTTGGTAATAAGTCAGATCAAAGGCGAATGGGATACGAAGCATCCGAATCTCATCCCATACAAAGAGTACGTGTTGACATTACTCCCACACTTTGAGGAGGTAACTTTTGAACATTTCCCACGAGAGGAGAACCAGTTAGCAGATGCGCTAGCTACCATGTCTTTTATGTTCAAAGTTAGGTGGGACAATGAAGCCCCCCAAATCACCATTGAGAGGTTGGATGAACCAACATATTGTTATGAAATTGATACTGAAGAGGTGGCAGACGAACCCTGGTTTCACGAAGTCAAAAGGTATCTCGAGGCTCAAGATTATCCCGAAGGGGAATCTGTCAATGATAAGAAGTTTCTGAGAAGGTTCGCTGCGAAGTTCTTCCTTAGTAATGGAATCCTCTATAAGCGTAATCATGACTATACCTTACTGCGGTGTGTAGACAAGAGCGAAGCAGAGAGGATTATGACAGATCTACATGAAGGTACCTTTGGAACCCATTCCAGTGGACATGCCATGGCTAAGAAGATCCTACAGGCAGGATATTACTGGTCCACTATGGAAGATGATTGTTATCAGCACTCTCGAACTTGTCATAAGTGCCAAATCTACGCTGATAAGGTGCATGTGCCTCCGGTCCCCTTAAACGCTTTAACAGCTCCGTGGCCCTTTGCAATGTGGGGAATCGACATGATCGGAGAAATCAGGCCTACTGCTTCCAATGGGCATCGCTTCATCCTAGTAGCCATTGATTACTTCACGAAGTGGGTTGAGGCGGCCTCTTTTGCCACAGTAACCAAGAACATCGTGGCGCGGTTTATCCGACATAATCTGATCTGTCGATATGGTGTGCCATAGAGAATTAT